TTTATTTTTAGTCATTCGTTACCTTGTTACTTTCACCAAAGAAAAAAAAAGGAAAAAACTTAATGCAAGTAAGGAATTGATTAGTAACTTGAAATTTATGATGACGAAGCCAACTTGGAATGACATCCATATAAATACTTGAGCAAACACTCCTTTTAGTGTAAATTACGAACTTGTGAACATGACAGAAACCAATTTGCCCCTTCAAAACAAAGTAGCAATCGTCACCGGAGCTTCAAGAGGAATTGGAGCAGCTATAGCTGAAGCGCTAGCTCTTCGAGGCGCCAAAGTAGCCCTTACGTTTACTTCAGATAGTAGTGTTGAAGCGACAGAGCAGTTGGTTAAGAAAATTAAAGGCTTTAGAACTTCGGCAGATGCAATTAAGATTCAAGCAGATTTAAGCAATGTTGGCAGTCCTAAATTTATTGTTGACACCACTATAAAGGCATTCGGACCTACGATTCATGTTCTTATCAACAATGCTGGGCGTGTAACTAAGCCAAAACCCTTGGGAGAGAACAATATCGAAGACTTTAATTATTCTTTTGATCTGAACGTTCGTGGTCTATTTTTCCTTACGGAAGCAGTATTTCCTCATCTTCCAAAGAAAGAAGAAAATGCTGGCACCGGAGGCAGAATTATAAATGTCGGAAGCGTGGCTGGAAGGATGGGTGTCCCTCAATATCCCATCTATTCTGCAACCAAATCTACTATCGAAGGCTTTACGAGATGTTGGGCTGCCGAATTAGGCCCTCAAAGCCATACCGTTAATCAAATTAACCCCGGAATAGTTGAAACGGATATGCTAAATGACTTTGAAGAGAGTACCACTCAATTTCTCGCTAAACTTACGCCTTATGAAAACCGCTATGCAAAACCGCAAGAAATAGCAGAAGTTGTTGGTTTCCTTGTCGATGATAACAGCCGATGGATTACTGGACAGGTCATTTCAGCTTCTGGCGGACTGTCAATGTATTGAGTTTATTTGTATAAAGGAGATTTCTAAATGGTGAGCAAGTCAAATTAGTGTCAGCTGGTGAAGACTATGGGCAAGACAGCGCATGACATATTACTACGTTCAACTTATATAGAGGATTTGATATGATGATTATACATTAATGAATCATAAACGCATAATGATATTTTAAATGCCAAACAATTGATACGTTGTCTATAAAAATCTAAACAAAATAAAAATAAAAATAAAAAAAAGTATAGAAAGTTAATCAAAAAGAGGAAGGTAGAAGTAATCAGCCGTCATTCAAACTTTAGCGCTTTCAGTATTCTTAGGTTGATCTTCTTGTTCGTCTTAGATACCGTTCAAAAACATTCAGTAGATGGTTCTTTTCTAAGACTACTAAAATTATTTGACTCACTCTAAGAAATAAAAGGTATTGCATGAATTGTTAGTTGATTTTCGCTCGCCGACACGGCTCCTTCAAATATTAAACATAGGCAATAGCTTTCGAAATCCAATCAAACCCTTCAGAAACCACGCAAAAAGCGTTTTGGAAACTTCAGAAACCCCTCCCTATGGAGCCTGCAGAAAATAACAAGGGAGGTGAATCGAACGAGAAAATCAACAGATCCAATAAAACTATTCATTTTTCATTAGCATAGCTTTCAGAAAATATTATTTTTTCATGACGTACCCGAAAACGAGTTTAAAAAGAATTTAAAACGCCAATGCGAAAAGAATAGCTGCTACGCTGTTTTGAACATTTTTTGAAGTCACCTTCAACATATTATCCCTTAAAAAAGGAAAGAGAACGTAATATGAAAATGCAAAATCACGTATTAATGACAAAGTCCTTCATTCTACTTTTTTTTTCGCAGTGGGTGGAATCCTCGCGAATGCCGCTGAACTAAAAATAAGCAAGAACTTAGTCTTAGCTCCATTGCAGAAAGCACCAAAGCAACCCAAAATTGTTGTAGAAACATCCTTTGAGAACTCGTCTTTCTGGTTTTCAGAACATGGTGGACCGAGGCTTGGATGTAAACATAAACAACCCTTCTCCAAGTCATCCTAATGGGAATACTGGACTTCACTGTAAGACGGTAAATCGCTGTCAGAACTCGCGGGAGAAACCCCACAGGAAGATTCGGCTGCTTTGGCAAGTCCTAGCAGCTTTTCATTCATCCTTAAAGAAAAAAGAACAAAACAAACCATCAATTGCCCTCTACAAAAATCAGAGATCAGCCGTGAAAACTATCGAATATTGATAGGAAAAGACCAAAAAGCGCAAGAAAAGTCCAAAGTAAAAGCACCTTCTTTTGATCCCCCTATAGGAATAAATAAAATCCTTTCATCACAGCTCTAAAACACGAAAAATACAACCGCAATGGCAATGGCTAGAGTTTTGTTTGAGGTGAAACTTGTCATCAAACC